CACACACACACACACACACACACACACACACACACACACACACACACACCACGCCTGCCTCCTCATGCCCGTCTTGTTATCAGGGGTTGCTAAAGTGACACGGCGCGTTTGCCTTTGCAGGCGCCCAGCGAGTACGAGGCCAACCCGGAGATGCTCTTCTACCGCATCACGCACCTCACCCGCGGCAAGCAGTACCACATCTGGGCCGCTGCCGTGACGACCGCTGGCCGAGGCAACATCAGCTCAAAGGTCACAGTGGAGCCTGCTGGGAAAGGTGGGTCCTTCAGGCGAGGAGGAGGGTAAAGGGAGGCGTGCGCAAAGGTTACGAGCGCTAATGACGGCCTTGAACCGACAGCAGGACCTCCTCCTCACCCACTCTCTGCTCTTGCTACTTTCCCTGCTATTGACTACAGCTGTAGTATTGATTGACAGCTGTAGTATTGATTGACAGCTGTAGTATTGATTGAGCTGTGGCTCTGTTGCTGTTGTTCATTATGTGGTGATGAACAGGGCCTATTTAGTAAAACAACTCCTGGGGAGGATGGAAGCAGGAATCAATAGAAAGGAGGATCTATGGAGTAAAGATAAACTGAAGGGGGTGGGGGTGGGGGTGGGGGGCAACACCCCCCCCCCCCCCCCCCGCTACATGTTTTTCTTCCTTCAGCCATTTCCCTCAGGTTGTTTTGGCAACTTTTAAGGCAAGAAGCAGACAGAAAGAGCCATCCTGAAGGTGGAAGAGGAGACTAGGCAGTATTTATGACCATTAACAGTTTGTTGTGTCTTTATGTGCAGTCCCGGCCAAGATCCTGTCTTTTGGGGGCACAGTGACCACCCCATGGATGAAGGAAGTGCGTCTGCCCTGCAGCTCAGTGGGAGAGCCCACCCCCACGATTAAATGGACCAAAGAAAGGTTGGAGCTCTTCGTGCACCACTCAGAGTTATGACTCAGACCCAGCTGCTGCCTCTGAGGGAAGATGCTAACTGTAGCTCGCTTTGTGTTTCCTCGCCAGCGAGGACTCCGCCGTTCCCGTGACAGCCGACAGCCAGAGGCAGGTCTTATCCAACGGCACGCTGGTGCTGCGGTCAGTCAAAGCGGAGGATTCTGGGTACTACACCTGCACGGCTACCAACACTTTAGGCTTCGACACCATCATAGTGAACCTGGTGGTGCAGGGTAAGAAGAAACTGATTGATTTGACGGACGGGTGCACCGTGGACTCTGTCGTTGACTGTTGGTGTGCGTTTGTGCAGTTCCTCCTGACCAGCCTCGCCTGACCGTCTCCACCACCTCCACCTCCTCCATCACCCTGGCTTGGATTCCTGGGGACAACGGAGGCAGCTCCATCAGAGGTATCCTCCTGAGCAGCATTTGTGTGCAACTCTACCTGTCTAGTAGCTGCATCGGAAAACATATGTTTTTCTAAAACAGCATTTTATATATATATATATATATATATATATATATATATGCATATATTCAGTGTTTTCTATTAATTTTACACATGTACATGCACAATCAGCTTATGGGATTCTTTGCATAAAAAAGAGTCAAACTTCAGTCGATTGACAATTTTAAGGTAATTGTCGCCCCCTGGTGGACAATGTTGATAACATCAGCTAGAAATCTGATTTTTTTTCCCCTTTAATTTATTTTTGTTACATAAATGTGTTTGTTCTGTTTGACTGCAGGATTTGTGCTGCAGTATTCTGTGGACAACACAGAGGAATGGCGGGACGTGTTCATCAGCTCCACTGAGCGTTCCTTCAGGCTGGACAATCTTCGCTGCGGAACGTGGTACAAGGTCAAGTTGGCCGCAAAGAACAGCGTGGGGTCAGGACGCATCAGTGAGATCATCGAGGCAAAGACACACGGGAGAGGTGAGCGTTGGAGGCTGATTCTCATTTGAAACATAAATCTCACGCTGATTTGACTAAATCAACTGTTTTTCTTCGTCTCCAGAGCCGGTTTTCAACAAGGACCAGCCGCTGCTCACCCACATCAACTCCACCCACGCAGGACTCAACCTGCAGGGCTGGACCAGCGGCGGCTGCCCCATCACTGACCTCATGCTGGACTTCAGGCCCAAAGGCACCTGGGCCTGGCAGAGCCTCAAGGCCAACTCAACAAATCAGCTGTTCCTCAGCGAGCTGCGCGAGGCCACGTGGTACGAGCTCAAAATGAAGGCGTGCAACAGCGCCGGCTGTGGGAACCAGACCTCCCAGTTTGCTACAACCGACTACGACGGCAGTGAGTGGACGCTACGTCTTTATTTTATCTCCTCTTCTCAAACATCACCTACCACTAAAAGATGAAAGCCGGGCAATAACGTGCTCCCCGTGTTTGTGTGCACTAGTCTGTCTGTTAGCAAAATATCTAATGAACCACTGAACTGATTTTATTGAAACTCTAAAGAAAATACTTACTGGATGTACATCTATAACTGATTCACCTTTGGAGTCAACCCAGTATGTCAGCTGCCACCGCTCATCATCCTTAGCAAACACAAAAATGGCTGTGATGTAGTGGGTTTAACAGATATTGACCTAAAATTCGAGGTGGTTCCAGCTGAGGTTCATTCACAGCTCGTACACGTCCCTGAGCGTTAACACTCTGCTGCAGATCTCACAATGCCACATGAGAACTTGTCTTCAGTCCAGTTTGTGGTGTTCATGGACAGGATTTCAAGACACAGTCGTGGTGAGTGTCTGGTTTGGGAACCTCAGGGTCTCGTCTCTGGTTCTGTTGGTATCTTTGGGTCAAGACCTTCAGGGTGCACTGGGGCTCGTGTAAAAGGCTGCGATGAGATTCAGCTCCTTTAAGGCTGACCTTCTCAACTGGAAGCGGGAGGAATGCCCCCACTGGGTGGAGGGGTTTAGGTATCTTGTTCCTGAGTGATGGCAGGATGGAGTGGGAGACGGGTCAACGGAGCCTCGTTCTCGGTAATGGGGGCGTTGTTTTGGTCTTTCGTGGTGAAGAAAGAGTTGAGTCGAAAAGCAAAGCTCTGGATTTGCTGCTCTGTCTACGACCCAGCCCTCCCCTGTGGTCCTGAGGTTTGCTTCATGGCTGAAAGAACCAGATCCAGAAACGGCCTGGAACCCAGAGACTGGGGGTTCTACCTGGGGGCCTGGGCTGCTGGTGTCGATTTGACGTCAGCATACTGTCGGCCGTTGATTGGTTCACTGGCCTGGGGGGGCAGGGGTCACAGACAAATCATCCTCTAGCGACTGATCCTTCCCTCCACTAGTGCGTCGCTGTTGGTGCGTGAAAGAGTGAGAGCTGTTTATTTATTTATTTGCTTCAAGTATGGATTCTCAACATGTTTCGGTACCCTGGAACAAACGACGAGGGGCGTGTCTTCCTCTATGACATCACATGTTTTAGATAAGATGATCCCCGCCCACATGGAGGCGGCACTTTGCTCAAAGCTAAACTATGGCCAAGGTAGAATAAGGCCGGGCCGGACTGGGCCTTACAATGCAGAAATGCTTTAAAGACACGGTGAGGATCTCTATCAACCAGGGGAGCCGGAGTGGAGCCGCTGCTCCTCCGCATCCAAAGGAGTCAGTCGCGGTGGTTCGAGCATCTGAGTAGGAGGCCTCCTGGATGGTTTCCTGGACATGTTCCACTGGTAGGAGATCCTGGGGCAGACCCAGAACTTGCTGAAGGGACTGTGCATCCTCTCTGGCTGGGGAACTCCTCGTGGTCCCCCAGGAGGAGCTGGGAGTGTCTCTGGGGAGAAGGAGGTTTTAGTTTTTGACCTGAACCTGTTGCCTCCACGACCCGACTACAGATACGTGGTAGAAGATGAACAATGAACCAGAACGGCTGCAACGTTGTCGTGTTGTCTCAGAAGTTTAAAGTCTAAAACTGTAGCGTGAAAAGATTGAACTCTTGTCGTTTCAGCTCATCTTTTGTTGCCGTTTGTTTATTTTTAAATCAGGCACGATCCCGCCTATTAAATCAGCTCGTGGAGAGGGCGATGACGTGAAGAAACTGTTCTCCATCGGCTCTCCGGTCATCCTGGTTACCCTGGGGGCGGCCTTGCTCTTCATTATCCGCAAGAAACGCAAAGAGAAGAGGCTTAAACGGCTCAGAGGTGGGAGTGGGAAAAACAAACAAAAAAAACTGTTTTGCAACCCAGAGTGACGTTTTACACAGATTATACTCAAATCCAACCCTAACGAAGATATTTTCTTCTAGATGCAAAGAGCCTGGCAGAGATGCTCATCAGGTAAGAGATAGTATTGCATGTATTACCCGGCAACCTTGGATGGGTTGAGGGTAATGTGATTTTGTTCCCTCAACGTGTGACGCTTTGACACAGACGAGATGAGACACACACGTTGAGCTTCCATTAGCATCTAACAGGAAGGCTTATTCTTCTGTGTGCTCAACCCTCTCTATGACAACCTGCTACCCCAAATGTTGGAATATCCTTGGTTAAACTACACAAACATGGTTAAATAAATAAAGAGATAAATAAGACATATAGGAGAAATCTTAATCTCACATATTATTTTATTCATGGCTATTGTTTTTACATTTGGTAATATTTATAGCTAAAACAAAGTAGGAATAATTGCTTGATTTTCTATGGTTTCTGGAGAATCTGTCAGCCGCCCCCCCCCCCCCCCCCCCCCCCCCCCCCCCCCCAAAAAAAAAAAAAATTGGTGTTTTCTGGCAAGCATAACTTTGGGAGCCGCTGATCTTGCCTGTTATATCAAGAAAATGAATATTATACTTTAAATTGTACAATTTTTTTTTTCCAGAATAAACTTTTTTTTGTTTAAAAAAAAAAAAAAAACTCTCTATGACTCCAATGTGACAGGCGCCCCCTAGCGACTGTATATGGAATCGCACTGAATCGCTGAAATAACACTAAAGCGCTTGTTACAATGAGAAATTAAGGATAGAAAATAAGTGCCTAATTTTATACTTAGTGTTTTCATTTACTTGTTTTTCACCCGTCTACACATGCGCAGCTTGTCCTCGTGTGTTTTCTTGATCCAGGACTTTATTGTGTTGTCACTGTGTGCAGCAAGAACAACCGCAGCATAGACACGCCGGTGAAGGGCCCCCCTCAGGGGCCCAGGCTCCACATCGACATCCCTCGTGTTCAGCTCCTCATCGAGGATAAGGAAGGCATCAAGCAGATAGGTGCGTTTCTGCAAGTGGCGCTTCTTGGTGTGTTGTAGTGCAATGACTGATGGGTCATGCGTGTGCAACAGGAGATGACAAGGCGGCGGTGCCGGTGACAGACACCGAGTTCAGCCAGTCCGTGAACCCACAGAACTTCTGCACGGGCGTGTCTCTGCACCACCAAGCTCTCATCCAGAACTCGGGGCCTCTGATCGACATGTCGGACATCCGCCCGGGCACGAGTGAGTGCACCTGCTGAACAATGACGTGGACTTCCTCGCCTTTGAATGTTGCGCCCGTTTTTCACCGAGCGGCTCTCTGTGATCTCTCCTCTCTTAGACCCCGTGTCCAGGAAGAGCATCAAATCGGCGCACAGCTCCAGGAACAGGTACTCCAGCCAGTGGACGCTGAGCCGGCCCTGTCAGAGCCAGTCCACGGCCTCGGCACGCACCCTGACCTCAGACTGGAGGACGATGGGCTCTCACGGCATCACGGCGACAGAGAGCGACAGCTACAGCGCCAGCCTCTCCCAAGACACAGGTGGGCCGACACCGGACAGAACCGCCGTTTCTTATTCAACATGCACAAACAAGTTTGAGAGGGTAAATAGATTTAATAAATATGTATTATCTAGCTTGAAGTCCCCTACAGAGACAAGAAACACATTTATTGAAGGGATTCATATTGTATCATGTTGTATGATAAGAAACGACAGTGGTGGCTGTTTTTGACCAACTTTGAAAATAACTATGTGAGGTTATGAAAGTCACACTCAGAGTGTTTAATGTGAATAACTTTCATCTACAACCACAGCAAATTGTAGCTCATTACCTTTCAATATGTCTGATTTATATCATTTTTGTGTGAGTCAACTTTGATTAGCTGTGGCAGCCATATTGATTTGGATTGACTCCAGAAGTTAATCAGTTGTACATGTACATTCAGTAATTACTATTTGAGAGTTTTAATAAAATCCATCCATTTGTTTATGAGATATTTTGCTAACAGACAGACCAGGTTGACTGCAACACTTAATGCTCAAGTTTTAACCAAAGGTTGCAATGAGTAGCACTTGGAGTACCAACACGGTATCTGTAGAAAAACTGAATTACAGCCATTTTTGAGGATTTAAAATCAGATGGCGGTGGCAGCCATCTTGAATTGAGCAGACACTAAACGTTAATCAGTTGTAGATAGCCCTGTCGCAAAAAACAATAAATCATTTAATCGCATGATAAATAAAAATTATCGACCTCATTTTCATTTATCAGCTTTATCGTTTCTTCGTGTCTCTCTCTTTCTACTGAAGACACTGGATGACAAAAGGCTCAACTCCGGTGCTCTTCACTGACCCCTCCTTTCTATTTTCTTTTTTAAATTGTTTTAACCATCAAAAATCACGTTTTTAGATCGTTAAAAGCAGCTAAGCTGAGAAGCTAAGTACGAGCTAAGCTAACAGGCTGACCTCGGGGAAAAACACCTCCGTCTTGACAACGATCCAAAATTCACGGTTGAAACCCGTGCCTTTGTCTAAAAAGTTGTTTTTCTGTGTAAAAAGAAGCTGAGAACTTGTTTACTGATTAAAATATATATATATATTAAAAGCTTTGTGTGACAAATGCTATGCTAAAGAGCTCAAAGCACACCGAGCATGTGCCCTTTTGAGAACCGATAAAAAGGAAGGAGAGATTTTTCTTAAAGAGACACGCTGCTCGCTCTCTCACTATCCATCCTTCGGTTCAAACAGTCTTATACTGCCATCCAGTGGTCAAAAAAGGTACTACACTCAAAAATTAACCAACATTTCTTCTTAAATTTGACAAGTTTTCTCAGAACTATTACCCCAAGGTTGCTCATATTTTAAAACCCCAAGGTCCTTGGTTCGTGGAGGAGGTTTTGTGATTATTTATAAATCAAGTTTTGACTGTAAGCAGCTGTCCCTCCCGACTGCGTTTTCTACTTTTGAACTGAGCATGTTTGAGTTGGGCTGCGCTCCTCCGCTTCTGTGCGCCGTCATCTACCGGCCTCCCAAGTATAATAAGGACTTCATACGGGACTTTTCTGATTTCTTGGGTGATTTTACGTCCAAATATGAGCACATTTTAATTCTTGGAGATTTTAATATTCACGTGTGTTGCACTGGAAAGCCGCTGGTGAAGGATTTCTTAGATGTAGTGGATGCTTTTGGCCTGAAGGGCCCAACCCATGAACGTACACTCACCCTGGACCTTGTTTTATCTTATGATTTATCTATTTTTAACTTGGAAATTGGCGATGCATTGTTTTCAGACCACATGCCTGTTTTATTTGATTTTATTCCTGTTTCTAAACCTGTTAAGTCCTGTGCTCCTGCTCGACGCTGCCGTGTTTTTAACTCGTCCTCTGCTGCCCATTTCTCCACTGTCTTTAATCGTTTAGAGTCACAGCTCTCTGTGTCTCTCAGCACTGAGGAGCTTTCCTTATATTTTGATTCTTTATGTAGATGAACAGATGCTGGGATATATTCATCATTTAACGCGGGTTCCTCATTTTTCTGGACTGAATAAAACGTGCATTGAATTTAAGGAAATGCAAAGTGAGACGTCATTTAAATTTGACCCATCAAAATGAATGCGGTCATTTATTTACAGAATCAAATTTAACATCAAACATTTACATTAATTTGGCAAATTATGAAAATAACAATATAAGCAATCAATCAGGAAAAATCATACGGCCATGATTTTTCGTTGCTGCACCACAAACATTTATAAAACTGTACAACTATGATCTTTTACCCACACGGATGTGAATAAGCACTTTACACAGACATTTCTAAATATCTGGGAGAATTTCTACTTGATAGAAAGTTAAAGATGAAAGAAGTTAAAGGGAGTAAGATTGAATGGGAAGGGAGGAATGTTCACCAGAACCGACACTCTCCATCAGAAGCCCAGCTCTCCTTCGGTACGCTTGGTAGGAAACTTGATCCATTACCTTTCTGAAGATTTATCAGCAGATATGGAATTCCGTTAACGCTACCTGTCCAGCGTCTCCTGATGGTGGCTGTAGCTCATCAGAAGTAGTGGCTAGTGAAAGTTATAATCCCATGGAACTCGGAAGAGCCTTTTGTCATGTCAAGATCATCCCGTCTCTAACAGAACTTGAGCAGAACCAGCAGAAAACTCTCCAGCACTCCAGCAACTTCAGAACTCCAGAACTCTGAACTCTGAGAACTCCGAAAACTCTAGAAGTCTGACAACTCTCCAACTCTGTGTAGACCAGGAAGTACTGACATTTTAAAGACTCTTTCCCGGTTCACTTTTTGGGATTTGTTCATTGGTCAGAATCGACCAGAAGGGGTGTGTTTTTGTGACGTAAGAGGTTAGAGACAGCGAGAATTGTTATGAGACAGGTCAGAAATGTTCTCACAGACCGAGAGGGTTTTGTTTTGGCGTGTTTAAGAAACAGGTGCAAAACATCTCTATTTACGTCTGAGAGGATTCTAAAACATGACAGTTTTAACATAACAACTTGTTTTTCGTTTGACTGTAACCTTGTAAACGCACACACTTGCTCATTCAAAAGCAGAAATCAGAAAAATGCATAATTACTCTGCAACAGCTTTTAACATGAGTTCTAACTTTTGCATGAGAATAAAAACCATTACTCAGTTAATAAAATTGATTAGTTCACTGCAACATCTAAAATGGTTTGAACTAAGACACTTTGATTATCAACATTTGAACAATAGTAATGATAATAAAACAGAGAGTGTTCTTTTCACTTGAATCTTCAAGAGAGAAAGTCTCAGGATGGGTGAACCTGTATTTCTGAGTTCAAATGAATGAAATGACAGTTCCTGTCCCACAAGGTTCTTAAGGTCAAGAGTTTTGACCTTAGACTTAGTTTCGACGTAGGCCTAGTCCACTACA